AACTAAAAGGACCAACGAAAATGATGGTTCTATATTTTTCTTCCTTACTAACTGTATTTTTACAAAATCTGGAGCCCCATAAATCGAGAGGTGTGTGTGTTGGATAACCTAATTAACCCCCTAAAAACGCCCTTGCCCTTGGATTATAATATGCAAACTGCTCTTATTTTCCCGCAAACTTATACTACCTATGTCCCAATTTGATGGTTCAATTCTAGTTCATATTCATTTGGTCAACACAAATCATTGTTAATCACTTACTTTTATATCAATTTTTTTTTATCAAATTTGATTCAGGTTTTTGCGACTTTATGTAAAATTTTTAATGTAGTTTCTGAATATGTAAATTTTATTTCTTACAAATAATTTGAGTATGAACAAAGATTCATTTTCTTTATTGTCCTTCAAGGCTCGTAAACCGCAACGGGACCATCAAATTGGAACGGAGAGTGTAATTATTTAATCATTCAAATTCTAAATTAATAGTTGTCATTGTGAGACTCTCTACTTGGTGCTTTTCCCGGCTTCCTTGAGAAGTTTGAAGATAAGAGTAAGCATGAGAAGTTTTTTTCGGTCATTGTTGCTTAAGTTGTGCACATTATTGAATCATCGAATGATTTTATCTTTTATGATTAACTCCAAATTAGTTTCTGTGATCGATATCTGATTTTTTGTCTTGATATAACTTGCTTGAGTTCTGAATTCATAATATAAGCAATTTACAAAAAAAAGTATTTGTTTTTTAGGGAAAAAATTCTTTATTTGATGACAGAGTGTATGAGTGAATTCGAATATATTATTCATTAAAAATAATGTTATCAACCGCCAATTATTGGTTAAATAAAATGAAGGCCGGTGACATGCGGGTCCCAAGAGGAAATGGGGTTTACGTTAGGGTGGCAAATGATAATGTCATTTATTTCATCAAATCCCACATGGGCTTTAGACACAGAGCAAATCACGCCAACTGCTGCGATCCTTTTTTTAATCTTCCCTGGACCCGCACATCCCATTAAAATGTTTCAAACAATTTTTACCTTAAAAAAATTCAAACAATTTTTACCTAACTCAAGTGACTGTATTAGGAAGTCTTTGTAAGGGCTTAAAATGGAGTTAAGAGTCAGATTGGTACTCGAAGTTGTATAAAAGAGTCAAATAAGTCCTTATATAGGAAGCTATGTCCGGCCGTCACCATTTGGGCGGTTTCCGGTGGAATTTTTTGACGAAATTTTTTGAACATCTTATTCATTAAGTCTAGTTTACTCATACCAAATTCAGCTAAAAATTCAACGGGAAGACATTCAAATGAATTCTTGAACATAACTGCGCAGTTAAAAGCGCAGTTATCTTCAATAATTCATTTGAATGCCTTCCGGATTGAAGTTTTAGATGAAATTTGGTATGAGTAAACTATACTTAATGAATAAGATGCTAAAAAAATCATCAAAAAATTCCACCGGGAACCGCCTGAAATGGCGACGGTCAGACAGTAAGGACTTATTTGACCCTTTTTATTCAATTTCTAGTACCAATCTCACATTCTCACCTTTACCTCGCTTAAAATGTACTTTGAATGGATAAAGTTAAAATGAGTGCTTTAAATACCAACTTTTACTTATTTTTAAACACTTTTAAGTGAAAATGTTGGAGAAAGTGATGTTTTATAATGCTTTTCACTATTTTATTAAATCAAAAAAAGTTTTAGCAAACACTCTAAATTTCACTTTTCAAAATCACGTTTATTTACAAACACTATCAGCTTTTACTATTAATCTTTTCCATATAATTTTTAAAAAACACTTTTTAAAAAGTAGAAACACGGCCTACATAGTGTAAGAAGTACTTTAGAACTTGTAGTTAGTATTTGAAATAGGTATTTCTGCTTGAGTTAAAACTTTAAATTTAAAAGTTGAAATTATATAAATGGATGCCTTAAACAGCTTTATTGTTTCATTTTTGTATGCTTGTATTATTTCACTTATTTTTAAGCAATATTTATTTAGTAAAATCAAAGAATTCATTTTCGATCGAGAGAACAAGTGAACAACTAACATGAGCCTAGGCTGCCTGGACTCCTCCTTAGCATACCCACAAATCCCACAATTGAAATCTTAAATGACATGCATGTTTTATACACGGAAACATTTTGTGGGATTTTTTCTAACTTTTATAATCCTTCCGGAAGTATATCATGTGACTTCATTCCATCACTTTGAGATAATTGAACAAAAAAGTCATAAACTATTCAATAGACTCAACTGTCAAAACTTATCAAATACGGAGTACAATACAACAAATTCTTATTGTACACACTTCACTGTTATACATATTTTTACTCATGTCTATGAAGGTTTTTTGTTTGTTATAGACAAAACATATTTGCTTTGTCTATAACAGATTTAAAAATCTCCACTGACGTATGTAAAAATGTATACAATAGTAAAATAAAATGTGTACGAAAGGCTTTTTATATTTTCAATACAATATACTCCTTTCACATATTTATTATCTCCTCATTAACTTGATGCAAGATTAAAAAGTGAAGACACATGATTAAGGGTGTAGTTAGGTGGTAATGTAAGCATGACTTATCTCAAATTTAATAAAAGAAAATGAATTTCTGCATTTAAAAAAATTGTGAAAGATTTTCTGATTATTTTAATTTATTGACCCAACTCAATGTATTCTCCGTCACTGTGCATAGTTAATGTTGTTAGGATTTAAGAGACAATATAAGTCGTCATCAATTTTTGCTCAATAAATAAAGAGAAGTATAAAAGAGAAAATAATGCGTTTATATTGAACTATTCCAATTAATTGTGTTCCGATTAGTCAACGTAGCTAAGAAGTTACTAGTATTTACTGTTGTTCATATTTTTTCCTATTCATTGCATATCCATCTATGCAACATTTATTCGTTTATTTCTTTTCGAAAAATCCTTCTTTTTTCATTTCGAACCCGTCCTCTATAATGACTCAAGATGTAATTGTAAACATATTGTCAAAAAAAAAAATGTAATTGTAAACATCAATAATAAAATAAAATAAAATGATTGCAAACACTTTGATGTGCACAGTGCACATCTGTAAATATTAGCTAAAATCATGTTAAAGACAATTATTGTTTGTCACATTACGTCAAGATAGAACTTTTTTGAAGAAAACCCATTTAAAAATGTGTAAGTTCTTTAACATTATTTACTTGCCGGATAATTTGTGTACTTAATTTGCACACCTAGGGGTGTTTGGATCTGAATCTCAAAACTGATTCTGCTCCTTCAGGGAGCAGAAGCAGAAGCTGGAGTGTTTGAGTGAAATTCCAGAAGTACTTCTGGAGCTCTAATTTACTCTCACAATCAGTTTTTTTAGAAGCTGGGAGGTACCAGCTTCTGGAAACTGATTCTGATTCTGCTTCTGCTTTTAAAAAAGAATCAGTTCCAAACACCCCCTAATTATATATTTACTCATGCAAACCAATGGTTGTGATAAACATTTCTTCACATACACTTTCTATCCACCAATTCAGTCACTTTAGTCACCACTTCATAAATTTCAACAGAATCGACCAATTTAACCAATTTCAGTGTTAAGGCTCTAAGATTAAAATATTGTCCGTAATAAATTTGATTTCTAAATTTTTATCCATGTTGTATTCACTGAAATTGATTAAATTGGTCGATTCTGTTGAAATTTAGAATAGTGTGAGTTTCAGGATGCACAATAATTATTTCATAAGAGTTTAATTTAATGTTTAAATAATACAATTATATAGAAATAAAAAGTTAGACATGATCACATGATGTTTATCCTAAAGTATTATCAATAATTTAAAATTCTTAGGAAAAGTCATGATTGCATTATTACAATAATGAAAATTGAACATAATCATATTCATATATGTGTCATTATTTCTAATTATAATGAATTAATTAAACGTGAATTTTACGCTGCATAAATCATGATGGTATTTTCTTAATAAGTGTCTGATTAAATCATTAAATAAAACTATGATAGGATTGTACATGGTGATATTTTGGAGTTATTGTAATGGCATGTCATTTTTTATGATATTTCTTTAGTAGTACTAAAAATATTTTAAAGAATCAAATATAATACATTTTCTCAAATATGGTTGTTACTATTTTTATAGTATGATACGGAGTATTTAATATTAGGAATAATATTTGACTGTGATGTGTTTACTTTTTACTAGGACCATATAAATAATAAACCATAATTTAAGAGCCCGTTCTGCTCTGTTATTCGACTTATCAGTCAACTTTTTTATTAAAACGTAATTTTTGATTTCACGCGTTGAATTGTGTAATAAAAAGAAAAAGTATGATTGTATTTACTTTTCTGGCTTTATTGACTGAAGTTACAGTAGATGATCATGTTAAAGATTTTTTCATATACATCTTTCTTTATTTTATTCATAAAAATATTTTAATTATAATTTTTTCATAAATCAAAATTAACTACCAATTCAGTCACTTTAGTCACCACTTCATAAATTTCAACAGAATTGACCAATTTAACCAATTTCAGTGTTAAGGCTCTAAGATTAAAATATTGTCCGTAATAAATTTGATTTCTAAATTTTTATCCATGTTGTATTGGGATTTGGGAATATCTTTATAGAAGACAATTTTTTCTTTTTTTATGAAGGCATTCATTGCCTGGAGACATATTTTCAAACCGATAATAAATAAATAAATTTTATATCGCTGAATAGTCTCATTCTTACGTCTCCTCACTTCTTCAGAGCTTGTGAAATTAATTAAAATACGGCCACCGGAAATGGTGGAAAAGAAAAGAAAATTCTCAGCCAAAAATAAATGCATGTGGACAAACAAATGCTGCTGTATTGATTATGGAGGAATTTTGGATTTCTTCGAGCTTTTTAATAGTACGATTACTGTACAATAAAACAAAAAAGTTGAATAACCCGCTTCAAAATTAGAAGTACGGATTATATAATTCTGGTTTCTGAGATCAATCGTCATTATTCAAGTAGTATAAAACGGTAATCTAACAGCCATAGAAGAAGCCCTATCCACTTTACCAGCTTAAACCCAACCATTCTTTCTTTCCAAAATGAAAATGGCTTTCAAGATCTCTCTTTTACTTCTTCTCTGCTCATTCTTGGCTGCCAATGCTCTGAACTCTTACCTTGAAGGTAAGCATTATAATTATGTCTGAAGTTTCATGATTTTAATTTTGCTGGTTCTAGCTAGATCTTCTGCAATTGATGGCCCTATTTGTTGTACTTGTCCTTGTAATAACCTTAATTTAGTACATAGATGTCTGCCTTACTGTTTTTCATCTTTCCTTGGTACTTGTTTTGAGGATGGCTCTATATTGTATGGTGAAGGACCAAGAGTACCCTTTGTTTGTGTTGAAAGTCCTAGATAGAAATGAGGCTAAAAATTCATACAAAAGCAGTTCAATTTAAAATCTTGTGAAGTTAAGTGTTTTACTTAAAGTAATAAACTACTATATAAGATTATGGGTTATTTATGGTTAACTTGTTTAGTGCCAGTTCGTTCAGAGTCTGTAAGACCCATAATGCATTTATGCATCTTAAAATTGTCTGTCTTAATGTCTTATGGTGGTAGTGTATAATGGATCTTATTACTCAGTTTGTTTTGCTAACCTTTGGGTGTTTTGATATGTGAATTAAGGGTTTCTTCCAAATGGAAATTTCGAAGAGGGCCCGAAGCCAAGTGATATGGAGAAAATGGCACTGCAGGGCAAACACGCCCTCCCAAAATGGGAAATCTCGGGCCTTGTGGAGTACATCTCCGGCGGGCCACAGCCCGGCGGGATGTACTTCCCGGTGTCGCACGGGGTCCACGCTGTAAGGCTGGGAAATGAGGCCTCGATTTCGCAGACGATCCCGGTGAAGAAGGGGTCCGCTTACGTACTCACATTTGCAGCGTCACGAACATGCGCGCAGGATGAGGTGTTGAGGGTTTCGGTGCCTCCATTGTCTGGGGACATTCCTTTGCAAACTCTGTACAGCAGCAATGGAGGGGATGTTGTTGCCTGGGCATTTATTGCCACCTCTGGTGGGGCAAATGTTACATTCCACAACCCTGGACTGCAGGAGGATCCCACTTGCGGCCCTCTCATTGATGCTGTTGCAATTAAGGAGTTCTTCCCTGCATTGCCCACTAGAGGTATACCATATTTTCCCCTTAAATTTTCTTCATACTTACAGATCTCATGTGTAAGATTAGGACATGGAATGAAAATTAATGATGGGAAAACATGATTAATTTTCTTGTTAAATGATCCTTCCCATCCTAAATCCTAATACATTTTATTTTACCTTCCTATTCACTATTGACACTTGGTTTCATTTCTTGTTTCTAAGTAGATCCCTTTGCTAAATAAAATGTGTTGAAACATATTTCCTATATTGGTTATGTAAAATAATAAACCAACATACAAGGTTTTGGCCTACCCTCCAAGTGAATTTTTGTGTGATTTTGCTGTCACAGCTTAGGGTCATAGTGATGGTTTATTGTTTTGTAATTAGTCAGTTTAGACAAACTTTTCAATGTGAGCTCTAGTTGATCCAGTTCATTTCATTTTATTTAGTTCTAATCACTACTGTTTTTATAATTCTTTGAGATGATGATGAACCATTAAGGGTTTTGATGATTGTTGCCTATTCTTAAATCACAGATAACTTGGTGAGGAACAGTGATTTCGAGGAGGGTCCTCACCGTCTAAAGAACGCCACAAATGGCGTTCTCCTCCCACCAAGGCAACAAGACATGGTGTCTCCACTTCCGGGCTGGATAATCGAATCCCTCAAAGCCGTGAAGTACATTGATGCTTCACACTTCATCGTCCCCTCTGGGCATGGGGCAGTTGAGTTGCTTGCTGGAAGAGAAAGCGCGATCGCACAGGTCATCAGAACCGTCCCCAACAAGGTCTATAGCCTGACTTTCACGGTGGGGGATGCCAAGAACAATTGCCACGGTGACATGATGATTGAAGCGTTCGCCGGGAGGAGTGCTTTTAAAGTCCCCTTCCGATCTTCGGGGAAGGGACTCTCCAAGACTGTTAGTTTCAAGTTCACCGCGGGTTCAGCGAGGACCAGGTTGACCTTCTTCAGCTCATTCTACCACAATAAGGTGAATGACTATGGGACTCTATGCGGCCCTGTCCTTGATGATGTTAAAGTATCCCCTGTCCGTGCTTATTAGAGTAGTTTATCTGATTTGTTATTTTAACCTCTCTGTCATTTCTGGACCGAGGCAAACTTGTGAGGCAGTAAATTAAATGTTTGAAACTTTGTAGTGATTGTGTTTGGTTAGACTATGGAATTTGGAGTCCCGCTTGTTATTTTGTCAACTCCAAGCGGATTGGAATAAAGATATTTTACCTATCAACTTAAAAGATAAAAACCACAATGTTACCTGTTTCCTAAAATGAAAGTAATACTTCATTTATTGGTCAACTCAGTTCACATTTAATCTGCTATTTTTTATGTATTAGATGTTTATCATTTTTAAGTACAAGGTTTGTGATATAAGGTATACTTTTCTTTTTGGGTTCTTCCAAAAATATGATGATTTTTCTAAATTGGTTTCAACTAACTTTTTACTTTTTGTGGACGGATCTTATTCTTTCTTATTTTTTAGAAGTTATAATTGTAAAACAACCATTTATGTTTTATTATTTTAAAACTCGCACCAAACTCAAATCCATCTTACATTATGAGACAAAGGTAGTATAATTTTAATGTGATTTTGAAATTATAAATTTTAATTTTCAATGCCAACAACCCAACACATTAATGGGTGAATCATGAGGTTGTCTATGGTACGTGTTATAGTTTAGAATAGGGGTGAATATATTGGTTTGGTTTGGTCGAATCGAATCATACCAAATTGAATTAAAGTGAATCGAAACTGCATCATATGTAATTTAGTGTGAGTTTGATAGTATTTCTTTCAAATCGCATTAACTCGAATCGAAAATCGGGAAAAGCCGAATAAAACCGAATTGAACTAAAGAAATTCAATAAAAATTCACGTGTTATTATTAACAAATAACAAATCCAAACCAAATGAAAATGAAAAATAGTACTACATATGATTTTACTTTGGCAATAGTTCTTCTGATACATTTCAACCTGAACCAAACCGAAACAAAAAACCCATATGTCCACCCCTAATTTAAAATATGACCCTACCAAATTTGCCGGAGACATTTGTACTATGAATTTTGGCACTCTAAAATTGATGTCCCGTTCACCAATAAGGCCATAATAAATAATAGATAAATTTTCCTAAACATAATTAAAATAAGGACAAAGTTTATAAATTGTATAATCAATGTTTTATTTTTAAAATAGGATTTATTCACTCTTATTTTGAGTTATTCTTGAACATTGATACTTGAAGTTTTTCATTCGATTAATCAAGTTAGTAAATTGTTATAAAATGAAGACGTGCACATTGATACTTGTATGACAAATTTACATGATTTGATTAGTCATTTAAAATATACACAGAAGAAGTGTTTAAAACTGCTCTCAAGACGACAAAAAATATTGTCTTTGAAATGCGACTCAGACATGATTTTGTTGAAAAACTGTTGACACTTAGAAAAAGCACTTTCATGAAGACAAAGAAGATGAAGATATGTCCGAGAAAACGCTTTTAAGTGTTTTTGTTTGAATCTTGTGATGAATGTTTCTTTAATAAATTTGCAAAGTAAATTTGACTAGATGAAAGACTTTCAACATACATTTGGCTTTTTATTTGAATTTGTTGGTTTGTGATAAATTAAAAGAATGTTTTGAAATACTTACAGATGTTTTACAAAATAGTGAGAAAGAAATCATTGACATGGATAATCTATTTCAAGAATTGAAGATGTTGAAAAATGTTTTACCAGATGACGAACATATTGTCACTCAAATTTGGAACACAACAATTGCTTATATGATACGTAGTACTATAATAATCTAAATTTAGTTATAAAAATTATATTTTTCATATACATTATGATATCATATGAAAGATCATAAATTATTATAGAATTTGATGTATATTTTTTTTATATAAAAATGGGACAATAAGTGAAAAATATATAACAATTGCCAAAAATTAAATGTCATGCCACATGACAACGAGGGTGAGATGGGGTGATTATTACAGTCCTTAGACTGACCACATTGTATGGAATGGAAATGGCAATTGTGAGATATTTACCCCAAAAAGCTGCAAGCCTTCAATTCTAATCTGTACTCCAATTTTTACAAAAGTACTAACCTACACAGGAGAAAGGACCCAATGCGGGACCCTTGAAAACTAACCCGAGTATTTTTTTCTTTAAAATGTTATAATTTTTTTATTATTTTTGCTCCAATTTTCACAAAAAATATATTTAAATTTATAACCATTTATGATCTTTCATATGACACTAATATTATATATCAAAAGTTCAAAAAATGATTTTTCAACTGCTGGAGTTTTTATACTCAAATTTTTTTTAAGTAAATTTAAATACTAAAATTAAGATCTCATGATTAAAAATATGTTTTCACATCTTTTAGTTATTTTATTCGAAAATGGGTCACACATAACAATTAAAAAATCAAACTCCGAAATTATTTATTTTTACATAGAAATGTTAGAATTTTTAAATCATAATTATTTGCGAAAAAGATTGATAAAAAACAATTCAAAATAATTGAAATAAGGTTTTATTTAAAAATATTGACGAGTGAATATATTGGTGGTGCTAGATTGCAGAGAAAAAATGATGGAGTGAATACATATAGAGCCTGTTTGGTAACACTGAAATCAATTGATTCTGCTGAAATTTATGAAGTTCTGGATGAAGTGGCTGCATTGGCTAATTCTACTGATTTAAGGGAAAAAATTCAAAATATATTGTATTAATAATATAAAAAAAAAGATTATATGAAAAATAGCTAAAATGGTCATCTACAGTAACTTTAGCTAATACAGCTAGAAAAGTAACTCTAGCCTTACTTTTTTTATTACACAATTCAGCGCGTGAAATCAAAAGTAACGTATTTGGTTAAAAAAAGTGCCCGATAATTACGATAAGAAGAAAAACAGAGTCACCAAACGAGCTCATAAATTAGTAGGAATTTGATTCATTGACGAAGTGGATTGCGGTTGGCCTTGTGACATCCTTTTCATTAATTTATTTGGAGATCATGGTCGAGGCCTTGAGGATAATTGATAAGCTTTGATATTTATTTATGATTTTTATGTGGTAATCAGAGCCGAGCCCTCTTTTGAGGCAAAGAGACAATTGCCTCAGGCCCCAAAAAATTGGTAAATAATAAGGGCCCATAAATAATTATATTCTAGTATACAAACAATTTTTTCTATTTTATTAAAATTACAACAATACAAATAATATCAATCAAAATAATATCATGCAGCTATGTGTGATTAATTATTTGTTGTAGGCATATAAATTAAATGACTGCTTATAAATCTTAATACAAAAATTTTGCATTATTCAAAGGCCCCTTTACAAAAATTCGACTCGGGTCAGAAAAATGTTAGGATTGGCCCTGGTGGTAATGACATGATAATCGTAAATCATAAAAACCGTTTATTTAGGAGTATGGGTGAAGATGTTCTTTGGAGGGGTGAACATAATTCATTTCTGTTTTAGGCATGTATTTATATCTATCTTTTTCGTGTACATTGATGGTTGTCATTTACTGATAGGATATTGAATTGTTATTTAAATTTTAAACATTCAATATATATATATATAAATAATTTATGTAAAATTTGAAGAGATTAAGATATTTTGAAGCACTTTTATGGGAAGATGGATCCTAAATAGTTCACACGGATTTAAAAACTACTCCCTCCATTTCTATTTGGTTGACACAGTTTGACTTGTCAAGATTTAAGGGAAAAAAGTTATTGAGGAGTAAATTTTACTGTAGAGTACACTGTTTGGCACTGTTTGGCACTGTTTGAACACTGTTTGGCACTGTTTAGGTAAAGATTTGTTTACCAAATAAGGAAATAAAGAAGTGTGGCATTCATTTTGAAACGTCCAAAAAAGGAAAGTGTGTCATGTTGGAATATTTTATTTCAATAGTTAATATGGGCTAATATTATAATTATTGTATTAGCTATTTATCAATTGGGTTTTATTTATGTGGTCAATATTATCTAATTAAGCCCAATAGACTATTAAGATAAATTGTATGGGCCAAATAAATGGGCAGAGGCCCGTGTTGCTTGTTAGGGTTTAATGGGACACACTCTATAAATAGGCTATGGTCCCCAATACATTGAACACCACAATTCACTTCTCTTCTCCCCATCGGAAGAGAGACTAAGGCCTCGGGTTCAATTGAGGAAGATCCAGACGCCATCTACCTCGTTCCATTCCTCCTGCGGCTTCGCTATGGATCCAGGTAGTAATCTTATTATACTCTATTATTTAACATGATGAAGGTCCTGGAATTATTGAACAATCCGTTTGATTTGTTCTTGTATTGCTTCCGCTATATGGAAAAGTATTTCCAACAATTGGTATCAGAGACTCCTTCATGTTGAATTATTTGGAGTTTTTCATATTTCTTGCTTCAATCTTAAACGATTGAATTTCTGAATTTTTTGTTTATGTCATATGATCTGCCGATTTGAATGAAAATAGGGTAATGCGAAATTACTTTTAGGTAATTCGTTCCTATGAATTCATATGAGTGGCAATTGATGACTATTGGGACTAAGTTTTAATCGGCATATTGAACTTGAATCCGTTGGGATGGTTTCTGTTTTTGATTATTTTGTTCAGTATTATTGTTATTCGGCCGGCACTCAAATGGATTCGGAAAATTTTCAGTAGGAATTTGATTTCCTTATATTTCCGATTTTTTAAAGTGTCGTATACTCATATAATTGATTTCAATTTTGTTTTGTTTCTGGGTTAGTCAATCTTACGATTGATTATTTTGGAAGGTGATTAAGTTATCACTTTTTACCTTCTATTATGAGAATGACCTTAATAAATTACTTTGGTATGAAAAGTAATGAGTGGTATATAACTGACAGATCGCTTACTAATTAGTGAATGTTTTACCACGTTGATTTGCTTTCAAACTTTTAGTGATTTTTTGTCGGTATTTTATATGGCTTTGGTAATTAAGTACATATTTGTGATTATCATTTTCGGTAATCAAATACTCATATGTAATTATGGCCAACATTTATCTCATCAGAAATGTAGATTATTTTTTACTCCGTATGTGATTATTATTATTATTTCAATTGGTCATTGTGATTAACGGCTTAAAATGTGTATAATGTGAGTTTAAAGCTATAAGGCTATGGTTTTATTAGCCATATGCATGCTTACTCAACATGGTTGAAAACATTGGGTTCAATTTTAATACGAGTCTATGTTAAGAACATATATTAAGTTTAATTATTACATAAGTGTATATGTTAAGAGTATACTTTATTTTAAAGTATTATATACGGAGTATATGCGTATGTAATATATACATGTTCTGCTATTCATGCCAATTGCCAGCACATATGTATACTTCCACACGTGTATGCATACTATATATGCTAAGTGTATATTTGTTTTAAGGACATCTTAATATCACACGTGTGTTTATATATGTTAAGTACGGTATATATATGATAAGTAAATATGTACCTTATATTTAAATTGGTTTAATGTTAGCATGTCCAATATTTGGGTTGGTTAATCGACACAACATGCTACCAAAGTAGCCTTTCTTGTTGAAATTAATTAACTCATATATAAAGATGATTGTGTACTTTCATATTTCATGCGGATAATAATCGGCCCAAAGGAAGATTATTATTTGGCCGGAATTTAAGTGCATTTGTGATAATAAAATTTGTGATAATTATGAGGTTTTCATGTGAATATTAAGTCGGTCCAAAGAAAGGCTTAGTATTTGACGTGATTTTACTATCAAAATTTTATCATTACACTAAGAGTACCACTTGCAAGTCTAATTTATATCCAAAGATACAATTAGATGTTGTGTTAGGTATCTTGTGATAGGAATTGCTAATATTTAAAATTAATTATCAAGTAAATTGTGTGAGCACGCACATACTTTCAGTTTTATTATTAGTACATATACGTATGTAAGTTAAAGGCATGTATGTTTAAAGTTTGACTCATATATATTTATATTTATATATGGATACAATTGAACTTTTTTTGTTAAGTATTACGGAGTATATGTTAAGTAATATACATACTTTAAATATACACGATTGTATATATGGTAAGTATATACACCTTAAGTATTAAATTTAACTAGTAAACTCACCCGTGCGATGCACGGTTAGATAATTTTCCTTCAAAATTATTTGTGCTCACTAATTCAAATTATACTATCAATTTATGAGAGCATCTATCTCCATGAAATATTGATATAACTTTAAGCAATAAACAAAACACACTTATAATACGGAGTATATATTATAGTTAAAAAGAGAGCACTAAGCATTACTTAAAAGTTCAAAAACATCCAACAAATACTTATAAACCATAACATTGTAAATATACATTTCATGTAACCCTAAATATTGTTGAACACTTTTAGAATACAACATTCTAAGTCTCGTCAGTGGTTCCTTCTTCTTCATCAATACCCATGCGATGCACGATTGGTGAAATTTTGCGGGTATAATTAACACAAGCCAACATTTTAATTAAAAAAAAAACTTGTAATTTTAATTGAATTGTTTAGAATTATACTCCATACAATAATAAAATTTGACGTAAATGAAACATATAAAATACAATTTACTAATGATTACATAGTAGTACATTATTTTTTATAGCCCACACAAAATAGTAAGTAACACGCGATATAAACATCATTTGAAAACAAATTACATTTCATGGCAAATTTTATGAAACACTTTGTACATTCTGTCTAGCATTAACCCTTGTTAAAGGGGAAATTACACTAAATAGAACAAAAAAAGTTTTATGTATTCCAAAATTGGACCTTAAGCATGACAATTTTTTTCAAACTTGACATTAATTACGCCTATTTTGGATATAAAAAAACATGACAATCTTATTTTGGAATTCTCAAGCTTATTTACTCATATTCGAAAATTTCCCCTTATTAAAATCCTTCATTCAAGTAAATTTTTGACAAAGATTTTTTTCATTTTCAAATCAAAGGTCTACATATGTTAACTGAAGGTATAAATTTTTATAATTACTAAATATTATGGTGACATTACATCTATACGAATTGCATTATTTAGACAAATTGCTGATGTGACCTGGCGAATCAGGGGGGTGTGCAGATATGTGCAAATGTGTTATGTTTTTATCTATACGAATTGCATTATTTAGACGAATTGCTGATGTAACCTGGCAACTCAGGGGGGTGCAGATATGTGAAAATGTGTTATGTCTTTATCTATACGAATTGCATTATTTTGACGAATTGCTGATGTATCTGGCAAATCAGGGGGGTGCATATATGTGAAAATGTGGTATGTCTTTATTTATACGAATTGCATTATTTAGACGAATTGCTGATGTAACCTGACAAATAAGGGGGGGTGCAGATATGTGAAAATGTGTTATGTCTTTATCTATACAAATTGCATTATTTAGACTAATTGCTAATGTAACATGGCAAATCAGGGGGGGGGGGTGCATATATGTCAAAATGTGTTATGTCTTTATCTATACGAATTGCATTATTTAGACGAATTGCTGATGTAACTTGGCAAATCAGGGGGTGTGAAAAGTAATGCTATCATTTAAGCACAATAACTTTCGAAACACATTTAATAGGTAGAATCTATAGCAGTTCTTAATTCAGAAATAAGTAATGGTATGATCTATTCAATGTTAATGGGAATTTATAATGGTTTGATTTACATTTAATGGTAAGTTGAATATGATTAAAAAAGGCATTTTCACCAACAAAAAATTAACTAATGCACAACAATGACTGCTAACATGTGAATGAATGCTTATGGATTGACATCTTTTACGCGCACTAACCTATCTCGTAAATGATATTGACAAAGAACTTTTTCACTTTCAAAGGTTTATATACATCATTGAAGGTAAATTATTTATAATAATTAAGTAATAAGATGACTATAAATTTACACGAATTGCTTTTTTAGATGAATTGTCTCTCTAAATATGCGAAAATGTGTTATGTCATTCTTAAGCTATTCTTGAAACTAAATTTGTGAGAAAATAGGTGCTTCTACTATTTCTAATATCAAAGTACGATCTAGCCTGATTTATTTAAGTCTGATTTGGTTTGAAACTAAAATATATAAATCAAAGTAAAAACATCTCAAGTAATAGGGTGGCTATGCATTTATACGAATTGCATTGGTTACACGAATTGCCCATGTAAACGGCAAATCGAGGGGTGTGCAAATATGTGAAAGTGTGTTATGTCATTATTAAACAATGCCTGAATATTAATTTGTGAGAAAATGCTAGTTGAGTCCGTACACGAAAAAGCAATGGAAGAAGTTGGCAGGAACACTATGCTCTTTTAAAAAATACTCTGTACAATCATTCTTCCCAAACCTACACGCCATCTACTTCAGTCCATGAAAATTGTATTTTTTGGGATTTCTTTTTGTTTATACTATTTCTCTTGATGTTGAAACTTTTGAACGGCAACTTCCTGACCAAGAATTCTTTTGCTTTTGTATTAGAAGAATAGATTGTTGTCTTTGGAATCGGAATGACAATCTGACATCGAAAGGTGATAATGAAAATCTTGAAATTAGAATCTCTTACCCGTACGTGCTGAACCTAATGAGAATTTTACTTTCTACAAAATACGTCAATTTTGATTTTAATCGTAGAATTATGTGATAGTAAAAATAAGAAAAGTTGAAATTCCTTTTCTGGATGAATTAGATTAAGTTACTCTAGAGAATCATTGTAGGTATTTTTCATTCAATTTTTTCTCCATTTTACTCATAAGATATATTTTAAGTCTTATGTTTCCATTATTTGGCAGATTCAACCAATTCAACCGTTTCATCTACAATTTCATCAGGTTAGCAGATTCAATTGATTTAGTCAATTTTATTATTACCAAACAGACTCAAAGTGTAATGAGATGACATGCTCTTCTTTTTATAAATTTATATTATTATTTCCAATATAATCTAAAAAATACGGAGAAATTTGAACATATTAAAACACATTAAGAATAAAGTCCAATTGAAACTCGAAAAAATCCGGGCTCGCTAATGATTCCTAATAATCCTAAAGTATTATTAGGAGAGAACTGACATCTTTAATTGAGTTGACATACACCCTAGATGCTTTTTACTATTTTAACTATTTTTTTCTGGAACAATCTACCATTTTAACTATTGAATCCCCTCAATTCTTAATAAAAAAAAGTGTAATATACTTGCATGGACTCACAATTATATATGCTTAAAATTTAGGGAAAAATTACTCTGGATACAGTATAAACTTATTCAAAATTGATATCCCAATTTTAATAAACTATTACTCCAAATATCTGGCTTGGTCATTATTTTAATGGTATGGTATAAGGTACAAACAATTGAAAAACTTTAATTTGATAAAACCATCCACTCTAAATACATTGGGAATTGGTGGAAATAAGTGGACCATAAAAATAGGTGTGAAGTTACAGAGTAGTTTTGTTAATAAAGCCCAAATCCAACTTCTACTAACCCATTTCAATTTAACAGCCCAAACTAAAACTATTCACACCCTCCACGACACATCTAAACATCATTTGACGTCCCAGCTTCTAAATTCTGCCGACTCCATCTTTGTTTTTCAGTTCCGACTACATACGAAGTATCTGACCAAATCAGCCTCTCTTACTTAGCCAATTTTTTAGAAATCCGCTACCCTACGACTAAAAAAGCTACCACAAAGATCCTCAACACAAAAAATGGATGCCGGTAATTCCTACCACTTTAATCAGCGATTCTGGATCTCCTTGGAAGGTATAGATGGGTAACACTCTATATGACAATAAAAATGAAGATCCATACCATTTGTGTATATTCAGAGTTAAAGGCTTATTGGATATCTTAAGTGTAAGCCTAATTCGTTTTTTTTTTCTGATAGTTTTTCCTTACATGCATGTCGAGTATCTCCAAACTTTTAAATCAAAACACCCAATTTATGATTCAATACAAATCTAGAAGATTTACCTGATTCGTATTTTCAAGGTTTTAGATCTGTTGAGTTTGGTAAGTCTATTTAAGAGTCTTATTTTTATTTTTTGTAGGGAGTATAATATTCTGTACTATTAAATGCAAAATTCTTATTACCTGTAGTATTATTTTCTTTACATGCATCTCGAGATTTTTCCAATTATGATAACCCATTTTGGCATGAAGTTTATGATCTCGCCTGTTCAACGATATGGTTTTGATAGGTTCTATAAACATTTAATGAATGAATAAGTTTATTCTTATATGAGTTAGATTTTCAACCTATCAAACTATGTAACCCAAAGCTGTATTGAGATAAATACTGTCAAACAAATTCTGAGCAATTTTTTTTTAAAACTTTCTAGAATACTTGTTAACTCAATACTTATTAATAAACATTTTTTCACTTGCATGGCTTTGAAGTGTTTACATTAAATTTTATTTATAAATCAGTAAATTGCATTTAGCAAAACTATAATTTGCACACTGAAGTAATACATGATATTTCCACACTGAAGATACATGATATTTGCACACTTTACAATCTGTTTTGAAAAAAAACTACCAAAAATAATATAGAATGTGGATCCCTATAATATTTCCATGTTTTGTTGAGAGTTCAATGTTTCTTGTAGATTCATCGCTGGATCGGGTCACATGAGTGTTGCTGTTGGAGCGGTCTTCAAGGAGTGATCTGTCTAAGTAATTGTTGGTTTTCCACCCGATTCGCGGATGGTTTAAGCTAAGTCTCCTTTCTTTGATTTTGTGTGCATGACTTTGTTTTGAGTTCCGGCATTAGCCCATGTGAGTGTATAGCAGATCCGCATTGAACTGCATAAAATGTTTTTTCATTGCTGAAGCGCCATTGACGTGTGAATGCCTTGATTTCCTTGATAATCTGTATATTTTATGGGCTTTCCCCATCATAGATGCTTCAGTTGTGGCTTTTCCAAATTGTCCACATTATTATTCCGGACATTGTATGCCTGGTTGCTTCTGGTTATATTTGTGCACCTTCCCAGCCACCATTTGAAAATGGTCAGCCATAGGTCGATATGTCTTGTCATTCCCACTTGCAAAAAAACACCCAAAATAATTTCAAATTGGTTTGATTAGAGGGCAGCCAAAGAGGCATTGATTTTGGGTTTCTTGGTTTGACTGTACTTTAGATTTTGATATATGACTGCATTATCACATTAATGTGAAATGTATATTTCTGTGCATGTAATTTCTGAGTCGCAAATCGTAGAGACCACACAATCGTTCCCTGATTGGCACCTGTTTGGATCTTAAGGAGGTATTTCTGATATACTTTGATGATTTTAGTGTGATAAACTTTGTTTTTTGATGTGAGTGAAAGCTAATACTAATTTTGAAAACATTACACAAATATTTTAAATGAAAACAATTCAGCCATTTATTACTTTCCAAATGAGTTTCTCCAAACATTTGTAGTAAATTTTTAAAACTTTTTTAAAATCACACATAGAAGGAGTTATGTGCAATTATGCACTCTTGTGTACAGAACCTGATAATAACAAAATAAAGAATCACTGGCTTTTGTGAACATAGTTTATATATAACCAAAGAAACTGATTCATGTTATTTTCTATATATATATATATATACACACACATATATATACACACACACACTCAGTATTAACTATCATATTGAACACGTGAGTGAGATTCTGGAATGAATGAATTAATGCTATTTATATGAGCTTTGTTAATTTGTCAAAGATTTTTGATAGATAATACAGTATATATGTATAACTTTTTTTATGTCAGTATCATTCCCCTATTCTGCAAAACTTTGATCTCTCAAGACTAATACATTAAACATACTACCTAAAAGGCTAAAACATACTCCTTATGTCATTATGTGTATACAGCATACCCTTATCTGTATACATATCTTTTATCATTGACCCCATATAACTATATTAGCATTGATCCAATATTAAACGTGTTCATCTCTACTGCAGTGTAACAAAATATTAAACACATTAAAGAACTTGGGGGATTTTCTTATTGTAAATAAAGACCTATCACCTTAATATTAGTATAATACTGAAGTTAATTTGTTGGATACTGGCTGCATCTCAAATTGGCCCATTCCTAAAATTCCAAACTTTAGAGTTTTGATGTATTTTTCTTCCCCTCTCGTAAAGTCTTAACAAAGAATAACATCTTAACCATTTTGATTCTTTTAGATTGCAAGCATTTTTGTGTAGTATGTTTAGCCTAAAACATGTACTTATATTTTCAATTTGACCTATTGAATAACACTAAACAAAGTCTATATCTTCTAGCCTTGATAAAACAAAAGCTTTCTTAACATATGTTCTGTATAATTTTTAAAATTAGATTTAGATACACAACAAACTGTAGCTATATATTAATTATAGCTACACAATAAAGTAATAAACATATGTATAAACATATTCTCATGATATTCTTGCTAATTGCAGGCAAACTTAGAGCTTTAGAACTTGAAAGGGAAAAGAGCAAGAGAAGAGACCGAATGATTTTTCCAATGCTATTGATTTTGGATAGACTTTGCCAAGTATTTATAGCAAAGTGAACCGCGTTACAACTTGCCTACACCTATCCAAGGAACAACAAATGGGATTTTATCGGGTTGATTTTTATTTTTCGTTTTCTAATGCTTGGCAGTTGGCAATATGTCCTGATGAGTCTTGTCTCATTCACTGTGCTGCCACCCATTTCAACCAATGGAAACAAAGGAAATTCACTGTGCTGCCACCCATTTCAACCAATGGAAGCAAAGCAAATTCACTGTGCTACCACCCATTTCAACCAATGGAAACCAAGCAAATTTAATGTGCTGCCATCCAGTTCAACCAATAGAAACAAAGCAATCCAAATTGTGCCCACCTCTTAAACCAATAGAATTTGTTTATTCACAAAACCTCATGCTCTGATTGAACTAATATTTTTTTTGACAAATAACCCAATGACTCATTGATGTTGATGTTTTTGAGAGGGAATCCTATTCATAAAAAAACTGTGCTTTTATATATTAATAGATTTAAGAATTAAATGTGTATATATGTTAAGCATGTACTTGGTATATGTTAGGTAAGTGTATATATATATGTTCGGTTTTACATTGATGTTGATGTTTTTGAGAGGGAATCCTATTCATAAAAAAACTGTGCTTTTATATATTAATAGATTTAAGAATTAAATGTGTATATATGTTAAGCATGTACTTGGTATATGTTAGGTAAGTGTATATATATATGTTCGGTTTTACATATGTGTAAGAGTACATGTCAACCACACATACATTAAGTTTTATACGTGTGAATATATGAACATACGTATGTGTAAATATTAATATATATTTGTTACAAATATCACACGTGTAGCTTTTACTTAATCAGTCAAATGTATGTGATGGTTTAATCGTTACGTTAAACATGTGTATATATGTTATAGGTATGATATAATTGCATACGATCATATCTAAGTATACATATATTCGTTTTTTTTTTTTACGACAATAGATAATACTTTGTGCGTTCCGTTTTTTTTTTTGTTATGCATATAACATTAAAGAGAGTTATCTTTGGTTCGGGAATAAAGTATGTGAAATTAAGACCTCCCATTTAAATGAAATTGTCTGATAATTTTTTTAATTGGATGAGCTTAAATCACATGTTGCCAAAGTAACCTCTGTTGGATTGACTAATTCAATTAATTTTTTATCATAGATGTTTGTATGTGATGATTCATGTGAATTATGATCGGCCCAAAGGAAGACATAATTTGACCGAATTATTTACATACCTGCAATAATAAATATGTGGTGATTATGAGGGAGAATTTAATTTTAATTTTCATTCCATGTGAATAGTGGAATGCCCAAAGGCAACCATTATTTGACAGGATTTATCACCAATATTTGATTAATGCATTGAGAGTACCAATTGCAGTTATTCCTACCAATCCAAAGATTGGGGTTTAATGTTGCACTTGGTATCTTGTTTGGGTCTTTTAATTTCACAAAATTGGTTGTAATTTGGAGCGTATACTAATATATTATTATTTTATTTTAGTTGCTACCGCCAATGCTCCTAATTTTACCACTCAAGTCAATGGAATCCCGATGCTTAATGGAACAAATTTCAAGTCTTGGAAAGAGGCTGTAGAAATTGTTTTAGGATGCATGGATTTAGATCTGGCATTAAGGACGGAGCGACCCACTTCCACTCCAGAAAACTCTAATGAGGCGAAAATTGAGAAGTGGGATCGGTCCAACCGGATGTGTCTAATGATTGTGAAGCGCACCATTCCTGAGGCGTTTCGAGGCTCAATTACGGAGGGTGAGAATGCAAAAAGGTTTCTAATGGAAATTGAGCGATTATTTGCCAAGAATGAAAAGGCTGAGACAAGTAGCCATTTGGCTAAACTTGTCTCTATGAGGTATTCTGGCAAAGGAAACATTCGTGAGTACATTATGGAGATGTCTAATCTCGCGTCAAAACTCAAGGAACTAAAGTTAGAGCTACCTGAGGATTTGCTCGTTCACTTGGTTTTGATCTCTCTTCCGGCCTACTTTGGCCAATTCATAGTGAGCTATAACACTCAAAAGGACAAATGGTCCCTTAATGAGCTGATATCTCATTGTGTGCAAGAGGAAGAGAGGCTGCAGAGAGATAAGACAGAGAGTGCTCATTTTGCTTCAACATCTCACAATAAGAAGAGAAAGAAGCATGTGGTTGGTGCTGAAAATTCTTCAAAGAAGAAGGTGAAGAAACAAGGTGAGGCATTTGCTTGTTTTTTCTGCAAGAAATCTGGACACACAAAAAGGGAGTGTTCTAAGTACGCCGCTTGGCGTGTGAAGAAGGGTAAACTTCTCAATTTTGTTTGTTCTAAAATTAATTGAGTTTTGTTACCTAAAGACACGTGGGTAGATTTTGGCACTACTACTCACATAAGTATGTCTATGCAGGTTTGCCTGTGGAGTCGTTCACCAAATGATGCTGAAAAGTATATTTATGTTGGTGATGACTGATGACAATAAAGTGAAGTTCAAGCTAGAAGAATTTTTGAATTATTTTATAAGGACTTGTTTTTTATTTATTTGAATTTTAATTGAGACATTTTGTTACACCGTCTATTAGGCGGTATTTTAATTAGTATTTCTATGTTGGACAAATAAGGTTCCTATTGTTCCTTCGGAAATAATAAAGTAAGTCTCTTTTATAATTCAAATATTGTTAGTTATGAGTCTTTACTAAGATAATCCTTATATGCTTGAGAGTTTGGTCATTTTATGGCATAAGCTAAAGTAAGAGATTCAAACCCACTAACTAAGGATAAACACCTAAAGTCTTTCATGAGCATTCAACTCTTATGAGTGTGGTTGCCAAAGGTTGTTTAGTTGAGTGGGAGTTAATCTTTTATAATTTATTGATACAAAATTTAAAGTTTCTGCAGAAATAAAGTTTATTAGCTTTATAGCTAACATTTTTTTTGTATCTAGTTGAGTGTAATATTTAATTTACACTTAAGAGATCTAAGGTTAATCTCAATAAAGACTAAAGTTGGACCAGTTGAAAATAGGCATGATGGAGACCACTTCACATGTAATTTTCATGCTGCTCACCCATACAGATCTATGTCATCAATTGTGTTTTTATGGTGGTTGTTGTGGTTTAGTCATGAATTAACAATATGACAAAAGCCGCAGTAATTCCATTATTAATACATGAGGTGGACCAGATTGACTAAGTTCAAGTCTAAAGATAAATAGCATACTAAGGCGCGCCTAAAGAAATATAATTACAATATGTAGCCCAAGTGGGAGATTGTTGGAATATTTTATTTCAATAGTTAATATGGGCTAATATTATAATTATTGTATTAGCTATTTATCAATTGGGTTTTATTTATGTGGTCAATATTATCTAATTAAGCCCAATAGACTATTAAGATAAATTGTATGGGCCAAATAAATGGGCAGAGGCCCGTGTTGCTTGTTAGGGTTTAATGGGAGCCCTAGCTAGACCAACACACTCTATAAATAGGCTATGGTCCCCAATACATTGAACACCACAATTCACTTCTCTTCTCCCCATCGGAAGAGAGACTAAGGCCTCGGGTTCAATTGAGGAAGATCCAGACGCCATCTACCTCGTTCCATTCCTCCTGCGGCTTCGCTATGGATCCAGGTAGTAATCTTATTATACTCTATTATTTAACATGATGAAGGTCCTGGAATTATTGAACAATCCGTTTGATTTGTTCTTGTATTGCTTCCGCTATATGGAAAAGTATTTCTAACATGTCAACCAAATAGAAACGGAGGGAGTATATATGGACTAAAGAAAAGGGGTAAGGAGGATGGAAAATGTAAGAGAAAACTGAGAAATGTAGTCATTTTGGCTCAAAAACAAAGTGCCATGCTATTTTAGTAGGATACAATGCAAAAGGTAAGAGAGTGATGGAGGCTTGGTGCTAATCTTATGAGTAGTACTTTTCTGAGGAGCTGGCGCACGTCTTCTCACGTGGCAATTCCCCTACACACTTCAATTCTCTTATCTTTTATTTTACATCTGTATCTTTCAATCCTTCATCTTCCACAATTCTTTCCCCCCATTTTCATTGCACTATCCACTAGTCTAAACTTTGACATAAAAAGATCTAAACGTAATAGATTCTCCAAAAAAACGGTACTTTTCTGAAATATACAATTTATGATCCAAAAATGCACTATTTTTAAAACTTTGACACAATCGATTATTAAATACTCCGTCTGACTAAATAATTTTTGACAAACACGTTACAATTATTTTTGTATTTTAGTTTATTAGACCATGGGCGTATAAGTCTCGGGTTCGAATTTTGATCGTTCAACTAATCAACTTGTAATTAAAGTCTAACTTATATCTCCCAGTTAATTGTTCAGCCGGTGTGGGAGGCCATCCGGAACGGGGTGTCATCCTTTTTGTATTATAGTTCATTAATGGACTAAATTATGAAATCCAAATGGTATAATATTGTTTACAATGACATTAGCTCAAGTGCGACGTGCGAAATAAATTTGAGAAATGAATGTGAATCTCACTTATTTGATTTAATTTAATGATGTTGCAATGGGATTTTCGCGTTGTACTCAAACCCGACACTGTATTGTTGCATAAAAATAGGTTCATATTGAATAAAAGAGATGCAAAATTTAACACTTGTGTCGTGAAATCCTTTTACTGCTATACAATTGAATTCAACACCTAAAATTATACGGAGTATACATTATCATTTCTCACGATTTATTGTTACTAGAACTTAACTAGTTAACTACATACATATACATTAAAAATATATGTGTATATATATTAATTCAGGATCAAACAAGAAGAAATCTTAATGTGAAAAATGTAAATAATTTTCGTGCATTGGATTTGAGATTTCGTAGTTCTAAAATTATTCACAATGTGATGACAGTTTTGCTATGCACTACGCACTACGCACTATTACTTTCAAGCGGTACTTTTTTAAAACAACATATTTTTCTACATAATTAAAAATAAGAGTCAATTCCCTAAATATGACTAAAAGTGGCAAAATTGCACAAATAAGACTATATTTTTTAAATTCCTTTAATAGGACTATTTATGTGTGTTTGGACAAATATACCCTTGTAACTTGTGAAATGTTTTAATTAATAATAAAATCATAAAAAAAATACTAAAAATCATAAAAAAAATAATAGAAAATTCATAAAAATATTTTTAAAAAAATTAAAAAAATATTTTTTAAAAAAAAATTAAAAAAATAAAACAAATCATAAAATTAAAAAAAAACATTACCACCCCTGCCACCCCCCAGCACCACTAGCTCCCATCACCGGAGAAAAATATGCCAACATTTTAAATAATGCCATAATGATGGCATATTCAATGAAAATGTTGGCATATTGAAGAGATTATGCCATCTTTTTGACATTTTCAGAAAAAGATGGCATTTTTTACCAAAAGTGGAAGAAATTTCACCAATCGGAGGTGGTGGTGGTGGGAGGCGGCAAGAGGCGGTGGGAAAGGTATTCATAATTTTTTTCATTTTTATGGGTTTTTACTATTTTTTATTATTTTTTTAAAAAATTAAAAAAACATAAAAAATTAAATTTTTTATTTTATAAATTTTTTATAACTTTTTTACGTTTTTAAATATTTTTACGTTTTTATGATTTTATTATGAATTAAAGCATTTCATTATGAATTAATACTCTTAGGGGTATTTAGGGTAGAAATTCAATGTTTAGTCCTATTTAGGGAATTTAAAAAGAAGTAGTTTTATTTGTGCTTTTTAGGAACTCATTAATCCTATTTAGGACAATTTCCGTTAAAAATTTGCCACTAGATTTTTTATCATGTTTATTACATTTTCTACATACATTTTTAAAACTATTGATTCAATGAATTGAATGCACTAAATTTATTCTTTCCATGGTTATAAAATGATTTTATATGGACTATTTCCTGTATCAGACCAGACCAAATTAGATTTATACAGATCGGATCAAACCAAACTTACTTAATTATAAAATACAAAAAAAAACATTATCAGAATAGACAAAATTAAAATAGAGATCAGACTAGGGGTGTTTGGAACTGCTTCTGCTTCTTTTTTAAAGCAGAAGCAGAATCAGATTCATTTTTCAGAAGCTGGTCATCCTCAATTTTCTAAGAAAACTAATTTTATGAGTAAATTAGAGCACCAGAATCACTTCTACACTTTAATCTAAACACTCCAGATTCTTACTTCTGTTCCTGAAGAAGCAAAAACAATTTTAAGTACAAATTTAAAACATATTGGTACGGGAGTACTCTGTATTATATACTCCTAGGACGATTACTCCTAGTACACTCCTACTCTAACTCTCTTGATCTCTAGTGACAGTACAGTTTTCTGCTAGATCCTTTCTACTTTCCCATATACGTAAGTCTGCATTCCGATCTTTTCAGGAAAGTTTAGGATTTATTAAAAAATCTAAACCCGTTTTTCTTTATCTTGCGCCTGATAATCGAGCGTGTCAATCAAGACGATTTTTTATGTTTTTTCTTGTGCTTTTCGAATCCCAGAATCAGCAGTGACTAGGAAGAGATGTCTAAAACAGGAACCTTTGATTTCGCATCTGGTCTTGGTGGCAAGATCGACAAGTCCGAGGTTTTGTCTGCGGTTGACAAGTAAATCTTGCTCTATTTCCAAATTTATTTTGTTCATGTTTATTCATTTTTTGTAAAAATACAAGTTATTGTTTTGTGTTGTGGTTACATGATTTGGTTTATTCTATCAGGTATGAGAAGTACCATGGTTATTATGGAGGTGAAGAGGAGGAGAGAAAGAATAACTACACTGACATGGTGAGATTACTTCTTTCAAGATTCTGTTGATTTCCCTGGAAAAGGTTGATTCCACATCAAACAAATACTCCATCTGTCACATAAAATTGTTCCCTCATTGACTTGGATCGGAGTTTAAGAAAGTGGGAATAAAGTGGAAATGTATGGTTGTGGTTGTGTAAGAAAAAGGTAAATGAATGTGAGCCACACAAAACTTTCCAAAAGGGGAAAGTGGAACAACTTTTTGGGACGGCCCAAAAAGGAAACCGTGAACAATTTTTTGGGACGGAGGGAGTAGTAAAAAAGGCATTTTAAGATGGACTTTAAGTGTATTAGATGTTGTTAAGCTTAAGTCAGCAATTTAAGAACCTCTAAGTCTTGATATTATCTATTAGTAGAACTGTAGCAAATGAGAAAGTATATTTAGAGCCCGTTTGGTAGCATGAAAATCGGCTGTTTTGGCTGATTTTGCTGAAATTTATGAAGTTCTGGCTGAAGTGGCTGCTTTGGCTGTTTCTGCTGATTTAAGTAAAAAATATTTTTAAAATACATTTTATTAATAAAATAAAGAAAAAATTATATGTAAAAATAGCTAAAATGGTCATCTACAGTATCTTCAGCCAATACAGAAAAGTAACTCCAATCTTACTTTTTCTGCTTGTTACACAATTCAGCGCGCGAAAGTAAAAGTTACGTGTTTGGTGAAAAAGTTGGCTGATAAGCCTGATAAGCCTGATAAGCCGAAAAAAGATGTTGTCAAACGGCCTCTTAAAAGGCTCAATCCTTTTTATTTTAAACATATGGTCATTTTGAGGTTATGGTAATTGATGTTTAGAGAATAAGTTCAAGTTTGCTAATTTTTAGTTTCCTGTATGGTCTCTCTATGTGTAGAGAATGAGTCTGGGGAATTTACTAGAAATAGGAGTAAAACATAGGCCATACACATAAATAAGATTATCCTTGTTCGGTGCTAAATATATGACTCATTAACTACTGAACAAGAATAAAAGTAGATGATTCTTTTTTAGGAGTGAAAGAGGCATTCATGAAAAACAATGATTGTCCCATTGGAATAAACTTGTTATGTTATTCTTATTTGTGGAACTCTCTTGTTGACTAAATTTATAAAAGTGACGGTAAAAGTAACATCAGTTTGTTTTTTTTGTTTGAGGATGACTTGTGGGTGGTTTTAGTAGGTTTTGGAGTCTGGAGATAAGGTATATTGTGCACAGTATAAGTATGACATTAGCAGTACATTCATATTTTTGTTTCTTTACTCCGTACACTGTTGAGATTGATGCTCCATTATGTTAAATGGATGAGTTAGGGAAGCCTGGAGTTGCTGATCAGCTTTTGATTACCATGGAACACACAACTTAATCGGTTTTTGTGGCAAAAGTGTTTTAATGTTTTGTTCTTTTTATTTTTCAGGTCAATAAATACTATGATCTTGTGACTAGTTTCTACGAATATGGTTGGGGAGAATCATTCCATTTCGCACCGAGGTGGGTGTCCCATAGTCTATTCTATGCTTTCTGTGACATGATCCCTAACATAATCTTTTCTTTTCTTATTGATTTTTCCTTAAGATGGAATGGAGAAACCCTTCAAGAGAGTATTAAGCGTCATGAACATTTCCTTGCTTTACAATTAAACTTGAAACCCGGACATAAGGTATTATGATATTTATCTATTATATAACCTCAACCACCATTATATTTATATCAATTAATCTTGAAACCCGAACTATAGGTCTTGGACGTAGGATGTGGAGTTGGCGGCCCATTAAGAGAGATCTCTCGATTCAGGTAAACCAAGGGTTGCTGCATTGACTTTTTTATGTTTTCCCCATCGTCATTAAAATACCACCCAAGGCTCATCTAGGCTCTGGGATCTGGTTAACTTTGGAGCGCTTTTTAGAACACTGATATTTCCACATTGTTTTTATTGAGAATTGGCATAATTATTTTGCTATGTGAGTCTCATTTTGTTTTAAAAATATATTTCAGCCTAACAAAGATCACAGGCCTCAACAACAATGAATATCAGATATCCAGAGGAAAGGTAAAACTACTGAAACCACTCCTGTCCAAAACAGAAAGCCTTGGTTGTGATACTGAAATATCAGAATTTCAAACCAGGCTCTTTTTTTGAAGCAGAGTTGTGCATACTTTGTGATATTATATTGTTTCCATGTTTCATTGCCTACGACTTTGCTTTTCTATAGGAGTTGAACCGTAAAGTCGGCTTAGATAAGACTTGTGACTTTGTGAAGGTTAGTAACCAACCCACTCAATCCTACACTATTTGCTCTAATTGACTCACCGAACTGGTTGTTGATTGGTTCTTGATGACATGCAGGCAGACTTCATGAAAATGCCCTTTCCCGACAACAACTTTGATGCTGTATATGCAATCGAAGCTACTTGCCATGCTCCTGATGCAGTATAGAACCTACTATCTTCTTAATAAACAAGTTTTGCATGTATCCCTATTAAGCTTACGTGGTAGTCAGTTTTGCCTTATTGTGCTTATTATAAGCCGAATGAGTAGCTTTTGGTTTACTATTTGGCTTAAATAGGCGCTGGTATCAGATGTTTCTGTTTTAGAAAATTTAGTGGATCCAGCCACTTTTGCCAAATAACCCTTACCAAAAAGACCCTTGTTGTTTGCATGAATCAGCGTTTAAGATGCTGCCTCTATTTCTTTACTATTCTTATTACTTAAGCTGCTGTGGTTGTATGTCTTGCTTCATACAAAGGTTGAATGCTACAAGGAGATACATAGGGTACTAAAGCCTGGGCAGTGTTTTGCTGCTTATGAATGGTGCATGACTGATTCCTACGATCCAAACAACTCGGAACACAAAAGGATCAAGGTAGTTATAGACATTACATTGAAATCATTATCATGTTTCGAAATATTTGTCTTTGCATCATGAATTTTGAGATATGCTTAAATGGTTATCTAATTTTCTAATTGTGTTGTGTTTAAATGATTCAGTTAGAAATTGAGCTTGGTAATGGGCTCCCAGATGTAAGGTTAACTACGCAATGTCTTGAAGCGGTCAAGCATGCAGGATTTGAAGTGAGTTTAGAATCTTAATTCTGGAAGTGTATCTAGTTTTTATGTACTCCCTCGTCCCACTTTGTAAGATACACTTTCCTTTTTAAGTTGTCCAAAAACTATGAGCACTTTACTAAATTGAACTCCACTAACTTTTTGCTTTCTTAGTTTATCCCTTTATTATCTATCATTTCACTCTTTACTTTTGTAGACCAAAAGTTTACTCGAATAGCAAAACAGTCACTTTATCCTTTACCATCTTAAAACTCGAACCAACCCCACATGTATATTACATTATGGGACGGAGGTAGTAGCTATTAACTTATTATATACAAAGGATGGCCTGACTTATTTGTTCTACACATGTTGAATACTGAAAGCTTTTCCCAGATCAACTAAGTGTGAATGAATCCCTCTTAATAACAGTCTTACAATCTTCTTTACCTCTTGAAAGCTTGTTCTTAGTTGAATTGTTTTCAACGTCATGTAGGTTGTTTGGGAGAAGGATCTCACGGAGGACTCACCCATCCCTTGGTATTTGCCATTGGATACAAGTCACTTCTCACTCAGTAGCTTCCGTCTAACAGCAGTTGGACGTCTTTTAACTAGAAACCTTGTAAGATCCATTTAAAACAATGCCATCTGGATTTCTTCATGGTCTTATTAGTTAATAATTAAAGCATTTTGTCGAATAGGTCAAGGCACTAGAATATGTGGGAGTAGCTCCTAAAGGAAGCCAAAGGGTTCAAGATTTCTTAGAGAAAGCTGCAGAAGGACTTGTCGCTGGCGGGAAGTAAGTCATTTTGGATATTTTGACTTTGTTTACCATTTAGTCAATTACCACGTTAGCTTCTAATGATTAATTGTCATTATGTCAGATAAAGAAAAAGATAAAAGTAACCGTCATATACAACCTTAAACTATTCTTATTAATTTAATTTTCTGGGAAGAAGTCAAGTATTCATTTAATAGGTGATACTATTAGCTCAAACGAACAATTAAATCTTGGTAATTCTAAAGGCCGGTTTCTATAGATAATAAGTAAGACCAGCCGAAATAGGCTATGATTTATATCCAAAATAAAAGGTCATATAAGGATCACCAAGACTTCTAGATGCTTTTTTTTGTAACCAATAATCAATGAATGAATATAAAAAGAGAAATGGACATAAGACATTTAACTGCTCCTATTAGGGCATTCTATTAATATGTGAAATCAACTTGAGCCACATTATAAATATGGATATAACTTGGTGGTTTCAGGAAAGGTATCTTCACGCCAATGTATTTCTTCGTGGCACGAAAGCCGATGTCAGGCAGCGGGTAATGGAAAAGCAAGGTGTATTTGATTTTCATGTGCGAGTATGCATTTGGCTTCCTAGCTCTTGCTAGTTGGCTAACTGGGATTTATTGGTTTCATCATAAAAGTTGCTAGTCAACTCCTGCTTTTAACTTGAGTGATCTTATTAGTTCTTTCTGTCTAGTATCATTGTTCCAGACCTGGTAACATAATATAGTTTGGTCCATAAACCCCTTAGTTCACCGCGATGGTGGCAAACATCATCTTGTAAAGGTAGGTGCTCCGCTTGAGATGTGATTGTTGAGTACTACAATCCATTAAAACTCATTTAATCTTTCTTTTCTTTTGGTTGGTTAAGGTCTGTGTTTGTGATTGATAAAACAACCCTTATTAAAGTCATGTTGGGATCGCTTCATTTGTTAAATGCATCTTAAAACATGTTTAATTTTCTTCTTCTTTTGGGACATCTCTTTTTCTTTTGTTACACGATCAACGAACAAGGTGTCTCATGTCTTTGCACAAGTCACATGTTCTTTGTTTGATTGTCAATCTTAGTTTTGGATTTCTCCAAATTTCATTTTTCATGCATTAACTTTCATTAATGATATTTAAGTTTTTCTTCGCAATAAAATAATAATAATTTTTTCTATTAAATAATGGGAAAGCGTTAAATGGGCTCTACTTTATAAAAAGTCTTTTGTTTACACTTTATGTATATATTTTCAATAATATTAGTACCCACAACTTGCTTAGGGGTGTTTGCAACAGCTTCTGCTTAAAAAAAGGCATTTTTGAGGTGATTTGGAAAAAGTGATTAGTTGTAAAAGTTGATAGTGTTTGAGAAAAAAGTGATTTTGAAAAGTAAAAGTTGGTAGTGTTTGGTAAAATAAGTGCTTTTGGTAAAAACACTTTTGACGTGAAAGCCGAGAAAAGTAAAAAATTGGTAGTGTTTAATAAATAAGTGCTTTTTAAAACTAAAAGCTGATGAGTTCTTTTTTTAAAGTTGTTGGAAACCAGCCCTTACTTGCCTATAAAATTAAGTCATAAAGGAAAAATGTCTTGAAAAATCTAATTTTATAGACAATAAATGTCATACACTCATACATAGAAAATGTAAAACCTAGGACATTTCTTATCTGTCATGCAATTGAAATCTGTTCAAAAGTATTGATTTCTACGCAGCTGGGAGATTGACATCTTTGCATAAAAAACATACAAAAGCAGATAAGCTTAGAACAATATCAGTACACACATTTTTAGTTATTTATATGAACAAACTTTAGATTTTTAGAAGGGAAAATGGGCAAATAAGCCCACGTACTAACAAAAAAAGGTCAAATAAGCCCTTATTTAGGAGGCTTTGTCCGGCCGTTGCCATTTGGGGCAGTTTCCGGTAGTATTTTTTGATGAAATTTTTTGAGTATCTTATTCATTAATTCTAGTTACTCATACCAAATTTCAGCTAAAATTTCAATCGGGAAGACATTCAAATTAATTCTTGAAGATAACTGCGCAGTTAAAAACTCAGTTATCTTCAAAAATTCATTTGAATGCCTTTCCGATTGAAGTTTTAGCTGAAATTTGGTATGAGTAAACTAAAGTTAATGAATAAGATGATCAAAAAAATTCATCAAAAAATTCCACCGGGAACCGCCCAAATGGTGACGGCCGTACAGAGTCTCCTAAATAAGGATTTATTTGACCTTTTTTATTAGTATGCGAGCTTATTTGCCCATTTTCTCTTTTAAAATGAATCTCTTCATTCAAATTTTCATTAACCACGTCTTTCATTCAATCCATGTGTACAAAATGTTGGTAAACAAGGGTGTGAAACTGTGAACTGAATTATCCGGATGTTGGATTTGATCAAATGCTGACCTTTTTTTTGGGTGGGTCACTTTATATTGATGTGGTCGGCAGTCGGCTATTCAAAGTTGTGGTGCTTTGGACTGGGTGAACTTGTTTAGGGTAAACATAATCCGTCTTGAATAAACTAAATATTCTAGTACTTTATACGTATTCACTCAGTCAATTCAATTTTTACTGCAACTTAGGATCGTCAATATATTCACACAAAATATTTTTTTTAATTAAAACTTTAGTTTTATTGTTATACATCAATATTTTTTGCAATTTTTTGTAGTCAATAATTATGATTTGAAAAATCAAACATTCCGATGTAAAAATAAATAAATTTGGAAATTATTTTTTTAGTGGCTATTTCAGACCTATTTTGTAAAGAAAAATAATTGAATGATATAAGAATATGGTTTAACCTTGAGATCTTAATTTGAACACTTAGAATCTATTTTTTTTTTAAATTAGGTATAAAAATCTCGATCGAGCAATTAAAATTTCATTTTTCAACTTTGTATATATTTTTTTCTGAATAAAACTTTGTATATTTAATATTAGTGTCAAATGAAAGAGAATAAAAAGTTATGAATTTTGATATATTTTTTGTGAAAATTGGAATACAAATAAAAAAGTTAGGCTAAAGGATCAAATAGGTCCTTGAACTGACTTAAAGTGTTCAATTAGTCCCTTATATAGGACGTTCTTCCCGGCCGTCGCCAATTGGGGCGATTCCTGATGGAATTTTTTGATGAATTTTTTTGATCATCTTCTTCATTAAGTCTAGTTTACCCATACCAAATTTCAGCTAAAAATTCAACCGAGAAGGCAGTCAAATGATTTTCCGAAATGTACTGCGCTGTTTAACTTCGCAGTTATCTTCAAAAAATCATTTGACTGCATTCCCGGTTGATATATTAGCTGAAATTTGGTATGAGTAAACTAGACTTAATGAAGAAGATGCCCAAAAATTTTCATAAAAAAATTCCACCGGGAACCGCCCCAATTGGCGACGGCCGGGCAAAACCTCTTATATAAAGGTCTAATTGAACATTTTAAGTCAGTTCAAGGGCCTATTTGACCCTTTAACCAAAAAGTTATGATTCATTTAATAAAATTGGGATATAATTTAACATGGGCCCATGAATTAATTTCCATACACTCAAAAAGCTATGAGCTAAGTGCTTGATCTTTTATTCCGTGAATAAGGAACTACCTTTTCACTCGAGAGGGGCTCTCAATCGGTCAATCCACTATAGCTCCTTGGTATACTATGGCTTGTAGTACGGAATCATCCCCAAATATCCCATTTATGGGATGTAGGTGTTTGTTAAGGTGAAAAGCTCAAAAATAGCTTTTTCACCCCTGGATTGCAATCAGCCTTAGAGTAAAAGAAGGGAATCACAATCAGTCACAACTTCAAACGCTTTTTATTCAATTATTCCTTTCAGATGTATTGTTTCAAGTTGGAGTCAAATGAAAGGTTGTGGCATGTAGGGGTGGTTCGGTATGGTATACCGAATATTTTCTCTCATACCTTTACCGTACCGAAACTTTCGGTATACAAAATTTATATACCGTTACCATACCGAAGTTTCGGTATACCGCATTTCGGTATACCGAAGTTTCGATTCGGTAACGGTACGGTATCGGTAAATTACCATGAATGTCTCCCAATATAATAAATTATCATAGACTAATGAAATATACTAAATCGTTGTTACTAGCGACATATTTAATCTATTATTAAAATGTAGCAAAATACAATTAATAATCTATTGATGTCAATTCAATATTGAACAATAATTATTATTAGTATATTTAAGTAGTTTAACATGTCACGTATTAATAAATATCACATTCTCTTAAAATAACTTGAACAATATAGATATAATTAAATCAATAGTGATCTCTAGCAAAAATAAATAAAATTATTCAAACAACATGGATATAAATGAAATCATTTATTCCTAATATGGTATTCTGCATTTAGTCATTTTTATATTTTTTCAAAAATATTTAAATAAGACTTTCAGACAAAGTTGTGTGTCTCGACATTAGTATATTACTTATTAGTCATTAGGGTTAGTTTGTTTTAATGTTATGTAGTAGAAGTCTAAAACGTTATAGTGAGTTTAGAAAATTGGACTTTTATTTTTGTATTTTGCTATTTGTAACCAACCTAAGTATTAATTTTGGACTTCAAAATTGTAATGGATTTTTACCATATTTAAGAATTAAAAGTAATTATTAGGTAGGGAGTCGGTACGGTATTATACCGGTATACCGCGGTATTTGAAAACATTTACCGTTACCGTACCAAAATAAATCGGTACGGTATGATATCGTACCGAAAATGACGGTATACCAATATTCCGGTATTTTCCGGTATGTTTCGGTACGGTAAGTGTGGTATACCGATATTTCGGTATTTTTGTCCACCCCTAGTGGCATGTTTATGGCTTTTCCACGGTTTTAATGACTACAAAGCTGTAGGAATTCGGTGTGGTGGGAATACTCTAAAGTCCAAAGCAGCTCCTAATTTAGGGGTGTTTACAAATGCTTTTGCTTAAAAAAAGCAATATTTGAAGTGATTTTGGAAAAAGTGATTAGTAGTAAAAGTTGATAATGTTTGAGAAAAAATGATTTTGAAAAGTAAAAGTTGGTAATGTTTGGTAAAATATGTGCTTTTTGTGTAATAGAAAAAGTAAAAAGCATTTTTCACACAAAAGCCGAGAAACGCTTTTTTAAGTAGAAATTGTCACTTGAAAACACTAATTTTAGTTTTTTTAAGCCAAAAGCCGAGAAATGCTTTTTTTTTATTATTGCAAACACTCCCTAAATGTCTTTTGATGTTTAGGCTTCTATACGCTAAACAATTGATTTTCAAGGCTTAGGGGACCAGGCAAATGCAGTGGCAACCCTTTGAGTTCCTGCGGATCTAGAGTCTCTACCTTGCTTTAGAGCAAGGCACGGTGCCCGGCCATTCGTAGTCGTTCGACTAAAACTACAACACCAAGGTTTCCATGCCTTTAAGATACTACTACAACCAAATGCACTGGCGAGCCTAATACGTGAACCTTATATTGGCCCCTCAAAATTTCTCTACTGGTTCCGTCACTCTGTCCTAGTCTAAGAGGCCGTTTGACAACACAGTTTTTCGGATTATCAGGCTTATCAACCAATTTTTTCATCAAACACGTAATTTTTGTTTTCGCGCGCTGAATTGTGTAATAAGCAGAAAACGTAAGGTTGGAGTTATTTTTCTGGCTGTATTGACTGAAGTTACTGTAGATGATCATATTAGCTATATTTACATATAATTTTTTCTTTATTTTATTTACAAAATATATTTTAAAAATATTTTTTCTTAAATCAGCAGTATCAGCCAATGCATCCACTTCAGCCAGAACTTCACAAATTTCAGCAGAATCAGCCAAATCAGCCGATTTTCGTGCTACGAAATGGGTTCTAAAATCTAACAACCACTGACTAATTGTTTTTAGAAATAACCATAAGTAGGAGCGTCAGATCACCATACTTCTAAGTTATGAATAATTAATTGAGAAAAAAACTAAGTAAAAATAGTGTTATCAAGTTTTGTGCAAAGTAGTCAAGTACCTTGTGGTCTGATGGTATCATTGTGGCACTCCCACGGAGGAGG